GATCATGAGTGATGCCGCTGCGCCTGGCGGAAGTTAACAAGTTGGTGGTGGCTGTGGCGGCACACACCTTCCATCCCAGGCCCTGGGAGGCTGAGGCAGGAGGGTCACCAGAAGCCAGCCTGGGCTACATAGCAAGACCCCATCCCAGGAAAACCAAAGACCAAGCAAACGAACATTTGCAATTCGGGGACGCTAAATGCAGTCGTGGTGGTGCGCAATCATCATTTCTTAATTGCAGAACACTCTCTCACCCACAAAAGACGCCCCATCCCATGAGCATTCATGCCCCACTGCCCCTCCCCAGGCCCTGGCAGCCCCGTTTTTATGGATCACCTGCAGGGAAATGAGCTCCTGGGTCCGGTGCTCTTGTGTGCGGGCTGCTCTTCCTTTGCACCTTGTTTTCAGGGGTTTTCTAGGTCACACACAGCGTGGACCAGAGCAGCCTTCCTTTTTGTGACTAAATAATGTCCCGTGGCTGCTTTGCTATTTTAGTTGGAAAGCCATAAACATCAATTAAACCATAACTTAATGGGTCTGTGCGAACCCCCTCCAGAACAGAAACTGCACAGAAACGACGGAGAAGGGTCCCAGGGACCTGCCCTGCCTAGGGCGGGGGCCCAGGAGGACAGGCTGCCCCACAGCCGTCCACCTGGTTGGCTTTCCTCAGACACAGATTCATCTGTCCTTGGTGGGCGACACTGCTGAGATAGCTTTTTGCTTGGCCTTCTGCTGTATGTGTGTTTATAGGGTTATTTGCTCATTCGTTCATTTATTCATCCATATAACAGAGTGAACTTCTGAGAGCCTACAGCCTGACCCAAAATTTCGGGACATCCCAAGGTCTTCGTTCTGTCTTTTGCCAACCCTGCCTGCTCTCCCACAGATACTTTCATTCTCAATATTTTTTTTTCTTTTTTTTTTTTTTTTTTTTACGGAACCGGGGATTGAACTCAGGCTCTTGCGCTTGCCAGGGAAGTGCTTAATCCAATGAGCCATCTCCCCGGCCCCAATGTTTTTAATTTTTCCTTTGTTATTTGTGTTTGCTGTTAAAATGTAGGTAGAGATATAGATGTATGTATTGTTCACTAAATCTCTGATCATTTATTTTGCTTTTTTGGATCTTTATAGAAGAAAGGCTCATCATGACCATGTGTGATGGCCCATGGGTGGCTTTACAGGTTTTACGGTTGGTTTCCTTTTTCACTGCTGCATAGCATTCCACTGCCTGGCTATTTTTTTAATCCATTCTTCTCTCCACAGGCATTGGGTTTGTACCATTATTTTGCTGTAGAACAAATGAAGGAGCATCCGTTATGCATTGCAGTCTTTCTTCTCTTTGAACATTTGCGTAGTTACGTCAGAGCATATATAAAAGGCACAAAGAGGAACCATAACTTACAATCCCTATTTTTTTCTTTGGTTGGGCTTTTTTGTTTTTGTTGTTTTGTTTGGTTGGCTGGTTAGTTGTTTGGTCGAGTCTGCTTGTTTGATTTGGGTGTTTGTTTTGTTTGTTTGTTTGTTTGTTTTTTGACATAGGGTCTTGCTAAGTAGTTCAGGCTGGACTCAGACTCACTGTGTAGCCCGGGGTGGCCTTAACTTCTGCCGATCCCCCTGTCTCAGCCTGTCTGAGTGCCGGGGCCTACGTGCGCGCTGCCATGCTGGGCGATTCCCACATCCTGCGGGCCTGAACGCTGCCCCTAGGAACCTGTTTGCCCTGTCCTTCTCCAGGCGAGCCCAAGAACTCGGCGGCGCCCCCAAGCGTGGCCAACGGCGCGGCTTCGGCCAGCACCTCGGAGGACGCCATCAAGAACATCCTGGAGCAGGCGCGCCGTGAGATGCAGGCACAGCAGCAGGCGCTGCTGGAGATGGAGGCCGCGCCCCGCGGCCGCTCGGTGCCGCCGTCGCCCCCCGAGCCGC